ATTGATCAGCTGGCATTATTGTTCAAATTAATAGAAGGTTATGCTATGGAGCCCTGTGGCAGCCCAGCCTTGGGACATATAGGAGGGCAGCAACTAGAGTTTCTGCTGTTGGACACATCTGAGAGTTGGGAATCATGAGTATATGGTCCAAGACTTGTATTTCTGTGTTTAATAAACACAGAAATTTAACCGAGATCTTTAAGTACCTACATTGCATTTTAACCCTACATACTACCTTGTTCCATAGCAGGGGAATTTAATTGGAAGCACAGCCCCCATTGAATTACTGAGAAGCAGAAACGCTCCTAAGCTGTTTTGCTTCAAGACAGAGTGAATGTTTCCGTCATCTTCTCTTTTTTATACAATATTTGCTATGTTCCATGACGAGGTGAAGGTTTGATATCTCTTTTTGTCATTCACGTATAAACAATTTTGCCCAGTATTCTGAGCGCTGGTTTTAAGGAATATTCAAGTTTCATGTGCTCCTATGACGTTTCTTCTTAAACTTTTCTGTCAGACAGAAAAAATAGATTTTTTTCCATTTCTTATCCTCATGTGTCCCTTATTTTCAGGGTGTCATTGATCCAGTCTATGCCTTTGTTCAGTTTTAAATGAATTTTTAATTTCTTGATCTGTCCTCAGTGCCAACAGAAAATGTTTCTCTGGGAAGATATTCCACTATTCCATCTTTCTGCCAGACAGGAAACAAACTGTCAATACCTCCTTTTCTTGATTTTCCTCAGAAAATTTCTTCGGAGAGGAAGCCTTAGACAGAATTCTGTCAAAGATATGAGAGATATGTATTACCATTTTAAAATGATTCTCTGCAGGCGGGACCTCTTTCTACCTGCAACATATCTCTTTATGGTGCAACAGGTTCCTAAATAATTCCTAAATAATATATTTCACTGAAGACTTCTCTATCCATAAAGTAAAATTAGTGTCCCTTTAATGGCATAAGCAGTTAATCACCTTTCTGAAACCAGAGAACTTAGTGTTGCTGTTGCTGACAATGATGGCTTTGCTTTGCTGAGATCTGGAGTCTCAGTTTTATCCTGGGATATGTCTGTATGGCAGTCAAAGATCTGTAGTTATGCCCAAGCTAGCGGTGGGGCTAGACTGGGGCTAGAAAGATTTTTATTATTATGGCTAAAATTCTGATAGAAACAACCTCCTAGTGCCTGTTAATGGCGTTACCAACAGGGACATTTAGAAGGGCAATGATGGGGATAGGTCCATTTGCAGGGAAAGTGCTGTATACTTATGCACAAAGGATAGATACATTTGTTTCTCTAGTTAGGGTTCATCCCTCCCAGCTTTTGTTCTGTAAAATTTGGTGTAAAAAGTGTATAAAAACCTGTATCTCTGTAGGCTATGAAGAGACATATCTAGAGAGTCTGTCAAACTAGGTATCTTTGAACGTTTTTCTTTCTATTCACTAACTGTAGAGGCCATCCAGATAGATAACATCAGCTAGACTGGATATATAGCTTTAAAAGTTAGGCGAGCTGTTTGGTTTGCCTCTGCTATTTCAAAACTGATCCAGCCAAAGACGCCTTCCAGTTTTTAACATTTGAGTCTGGCTGAGACATACGAATGTACTGAAGTTTACTTGATATCAGCTATAAGAACAGTGTTTCCTCTCTGTGTAAAGGTGTCCGGTAATATCCTCCGTGAAATATGATTCCTAAGGATAGAATTTGTTAATCTAACTTCAGTTACCTAAAAGTGGAGTGTCCAGCTTAGGTTAGCTGTTTTGGTGCCCTCAGCTGACAAAGTCCTCAAATGTCTTTGCAAATGTTTATAGTCACTGACTATATTGGATGACTACTGGATATGGTAAGTGAATAACTATCTTTCTAGAGAAGTGGAGCCCTGAAGCTTTTTTTTTATCTTCTTTAAGCCTCATCCTTTGCAGCAGGTTTGCAAGGTTTTTAAGCTGGGATGGCTAGGACCTCGAGGCATTGAGAACAGGACTTCTTACAGATAATGCTAGAGACCCTGCTCCCCCTGCATGCAAGCCCCTGCCCTGCCACAGCATTTACTACTACAGAAGCCAATGTTCCAGGAAGTATGTGTAGCCACATCACATAGTTTCTGATCCATTAGGGTTGCTGCACCAAAATAGCAAGTACCTTAATATGACTCAAATCATAGGAAACAAGTTTCTTTTCCTTGGCAGTGCAGAGTCTCCACTCTACATGGTACATATTGTGTGTGATAGCACAGATTGGCTAACGTCTGTTTTTAGATATATTGCTTTGTGCTAGCTTGGAAATTAGCAGAGGGCTAGTGCTGCTGAGGAAGTTTGTGCTGCCTTCCTGACACGGTGGTCAGGAAGAGAGGGGACTAAGAGAAACAAGTGAGCTTTGGTGTGAGATAGATCCTAGTTGGTCCAGGAGCAGAAAAACCCTTGGGGCAGAAAAGCAAATGGAGTAGGAAAGCTCATTCCTTTAGCAAGTGTTTTAATTGGTGTGGCTATCTTCTTTTAGGGTGCCCTGTCCAGAAATTGGATGCTTCTGGTCAATACTGGTTATTTAGCTTCCAGGCTGTCCTTTCTCATCCCAAGGTAGAGGTCTGAAGCCTAGAGGGAGTGTTCCAGTCAGCTCATCTGTGAGGCCAGTCTGGGGAGAAGGTGAAGAAAATTCCGTATGTTAAAACTATAGTACCGCTTTGAGCTAACATTTACAGTTAAATGTCCACAGACATCATCTTAGAAGCTGGTGATGTGATTCTGGCTCTGAGGAGGCTGTGCTTAGCTTTTTGAACCAACGTCTCTTGAGTGAAGCAATTCATTTTGAGGTAAATAGCAAAACCTAGGATGTGTCTGCCTTCAGATGGAGGTTCTGAATGAGGAAGGGAGGCAGGTAGGAATTCCAGCTTCCCATTACAGAAGGCTATTAGCAGGGCACCTGGAGGAAAGCAAAGAAGCTGGAGGCAAGGATAGGCCAATTAATTCCCCCATTCTGCCACAGAGTCCCTCTGTGACCTCTGACAGTCACACTGTCCTCTATGCTTTGCGCCTTATGGCACATCCCTAGGGACTCTGAGGTGGATGCTTATGCAAAGCTAAGTAGTCAGATGATAAAAAGTTCATTTGGCTAGCAGAATGTTTTCCATATGCAAGCCTCTGTGTTTTGGAAATTAGCGTACTGCAAAAGGAGGAAAACTGCATGCCTGGCCAGCTGGGACATGACTGATAGAAGGTGTCCATGAAAGCTGCCAGTAACATCTTCTGTCATCAGGGTCTTTAATCCATGTTCCTTTTTGGGGGCAAAATGCTTGTGGAGTGTTTGTCTTCTTGGGCCTTCTCCAGGAGCTGCTTTCAGGAAAGGGGTTAACTGCGCTGCTTTCTTTGTCCGGTCCCATATTTGTGCCACAGAGGATATTAGCTCCAGCACAGAAGATGCATTGGGGCGGTGGAGGTAATACAGTTGCAGCACTGCAGTGCTTTATGTCCAGGTGCCTGTCAGCCTGTGAACCTGTCAGAGCAGTGTTTGCTAGAATCTGTAATGGGAAGTAAACCACAAAAATCTCACATTGGCTCCTTCTCCCGCTTCTGCTTTGCTGAGGGCTCCACAGTCTCTTCAGAAGACTGGTATTATCTCCAAAATGGTTTGGCTTGTTTATCCTAGGCTCTTGTTCTTGATGCCTCCTACACAGCAAAAGAAAGCACTCTTCACATTCCTGGAAGCTCTTGCCCACGAAGAGAGATATCCCAAGCCTTTTCCACTGTCGCTGTTCCACCTGTAAACACAGGCTCAAAACACAGCTTTTCGCAGATCTTCACATAGCTTCCCCAGAAGTCATGCAGACAGCTTTATAGTCACTGTGAGGTTTCAGAAGAGTCATTAAAACTCTGTAAATTGAGGCAAAAGATTTAGTTCCAGGGTAGGCAAAACGATGGGATGGCATGGAGCAGAGCAGCCTTTTTGCAGAAGTATCAGTTCCTCTGCCATGCATTTCTGCTGAAGCTACGGAACATACTGCTTTTGTAACAAGTCACATGCCTAGCTATGAAGACCATTTTTTCCATGGTTGTAAGGCAGTTTATAAGTCCTAAGTGGGATAAAAGGAGAGAGTTCAAGCTGAATGACAGCTTTGCTGGCTGGGTTGATTAATGCGCTCAGTACACACAGAAACCCTATGCTACTGCTCAGCCTATTCCGAAACATTTCCTAATGTTGACTTTTTATTACTCTTCCAAACCTGCCTTAAACCCTCAGAGACAAGTTTGGAAGTAGGATTCCTTCCAGGGAATTCCTTCCACGCTGTAGCATGATTCTCATTCAGTGTGTGCAAAAATCTGACGGTGATTTGGAGACTGAAGTAATAGCACCTTGGAAAATTTTTTGCTTGCAAGAGAAACTTGCCAATAGATAATTCCTGAAGATAATTTTTTCCTTCAGCCTATTTATAAGATGACTCAAACAATTTTCCCTGACTAGACAGATACCAGTGCAATGTCACGATCCCAGAAGCACAAACTTTACTACTCTTTCTAGGACTTGAAGTTCATTACCAGAGCTAAACAAAATCCTTAGTTCAAATAGTTTATTCCCTAAAAGTAGTAGTTTGAGAAAAGGAGAAATTACTAATCATGCCAGTGAAATATGTTGAATAGTTTTGGGTTTAACCTCGTCTTCCTCCCAAAAGGAGAGAAAAAAGAAAAATTGGAGAAGTCAGAATGCTGTAATGTATTTGGGCTGGACTATTTCAACTTTCCATTTTGAAAAGTAAATCACTTTTTGTGAAATAAATGAAATTAATGTTTTAGGTGGATGAGGGGAACCAGATTCCCTACAGCTGGCGGATATACAAAGCAATAATAGCAGCGTTGTCATTCAGAATGTATGAATATGGCTTTTATTCTAATTATTTGGTCTTTATTACTGTGTCTCTGAACTCAAGCTGGAGAGCTCTCTGGTGTCTGTGTCTGCACTGTGCAGGCTGGCACCTTTCCACCTTTGTCTTCTTCATAGTAGTCTCTTCTCTTCCAGGCTCTCCTTATTATTACAGTGCTGCAGCCCGTGGAGCAGCCCCACCAGCAGCCACTGCTGCTTATGACCGTCACTGACCCAAGGATCACGGAACTCAAGCACTTACTGAAACATATCATCCTGGACAACAGCATCTAAAGTCATCTAGATAGAATCATGCAAGTCACACTGTAAAGGAAGAAGAAGCTGTTTAGTAGGAACATGCTAGTTGGAATTTTGTTCTTTAAATTGGGTGAGCTTATTTTATTCAATTTTATTTCAAATCAGCAAAAGTGTAGTGATTTTGGTTGGGTCTCAAATGAAACAAAAAGAAGGAGGAAATGGTTCTGCTGACATTCCATGTGATCTTAATACTAGAGTAGCTGCCTGTTCTTTACAGCTGGCTGCCTACTGCTGCAGCTGCCTGCAGTTGTCACAGCTGCATGCAGGGAAGGGGAACAGGTGTGAGCAGTCTTCCTTCGGATGGCCTCCTTTTAATGCCCACTGAAACAGGTTGTGTGACTTAACTCATTTTTTCTTTTAAAGAAGGATCCGCCTGCTCAATTTTACATAAGCATGGATGTAAATAACTTGCTTCTTTGTGTTACTATGACAATGGCTTAGCATAAACAGCAACATTGTATGAAATACGAACTCAAAACACAGCTGATTGATAGTGTGTTTTGAAACTGGTGCACTGATTCAAAGAATTCAGTAAGCTTTAAGCAACTTTGAACCAGGTTAACACTCATTGTGGCTGTATTTGGAACTGATGCTATTTCTGTATACAGCATCCTATCTGACAGTTGTGTATGATCATGCTATATGCTGGTATCAAACACATGGACAACTGAAAGACATGGGCAGTTTTGTGACGTTTTACTGCTTCATTTACGATCATTTGTCATCATAATGAGCACTGAAACAAATTCTCTGGTTTCAAGCTAAGCAAATTGCAAGAAAGAATTGCTAAATGATAGTTGACACCTTATGTACATCTCGATAGATTATGTGCTACAATCCAAATATGAACATTTTGAGAGGAAGGAGGAAACATACCAAGGTAACAATTTTTTTAAAAAGGGGATATTGAACACTGAAGCAGTCATATATGCTTTATAAAGGGGATATTGAACACTGGAGCAGTCAGACATGCTTTGCAAAGCAAACTGAAGATGAAAGCACACATTTTGTGAGGTCTGCACATTTAAGTGAAAGCATGTCTCCAGTTGCTCTAATAACACTTGGGGGGGGGGGGAAAAGGGAGCTATTTTAAATTCAAGCCATTGTAGTCTAGACTTACGTCAGGGAGAATTTGGGCCCATTAATTCTGTATTTCTTACCCTCTGGCTCAAAGAGGGAACACTAACAGAACCAGGTGTCATTTCGTTCAATGTTTTCTACTTCCTGAGGCTAATGAACAGAAGAGAGCAGCTTGCAAATGATCCATTAAGCAACTCCGCCAATCACTGCCATTTCCATGAAATCAAGAAAACTGTTGGTTTCTCCCTTCCCCCTCCCCTGCTTCAGTCCAGGGATGGCTACCTTTAGTCATACATTGATAACGTACATGTTCCCAAGTGGGATTCTGGGAAGCGTCCCCCCCCTCCCTAAAGCAGTGCAAAAGCTCCCTAACCTAGGGAGCTGAAGATCTGCCCATAGCCTCTGGCAGCACGAAGAGGCCAACCCCAACCATCCTTATTCACACAGGTCAGTTTAGGTACTGCAAAGTAGTCTTGTTTGTGTCTGCCTGTGTGTTTGCCAAGGTTGAACGAGGGTTGCTGGTATTGATGCTGAAATACGTTTTCTGTGAATGAACAATCAAGTATAATGATTTGTTTCCAGTTTCACAAGTATTTCTCTGAAGTGGCAGCTCTGGAGTTCATGTCCCTCTTCCTCCTCGCCTTCCCACCAGCCTTGGGCTGCTTGTCCAGTATCTTATCCTTTCGAGTAGTGGCCATTAACCCCTTCTGCAGTTTTCTGTGTGTTCTCCCAACACACAGCTTCAGTGACATGTTTCATACGTTCTAATGATACTGAAATACAAGCATCACTTTCAAGTTTCCAGAGCAGATTTATTCAGATCCTAAAAAGCCAAGAAAGTACCTCAATCCCATTGGCCTAAAGAAGTTTCAGAGACATGTGCACCAAACCTATCAGAGATCTTGCCTAGAGTTCTTTAACTGTCCCTAACCCAGAATTAAGTTTTTTGTGAGCACATGACAAACTTACCAGTCAGAACAGTCCTGCTTTCCATCTTCATTAATGGTTCACACACACACAACCACACACATTTTTAGCTAAAGAAAAATAACAGTGCGGACAACTTATTTATATGAACAACTTTCTGAAGCGTTGTTTTGGCGTCATGCTTTCATGAATCTTCACTATGCGCAGCATGGTTGTTTGCACTCCGGTGGTAAAGCTGCAAAGGGAGTTTTCTGTCTCCGGACAGAGGTTACATGGGAACCCCTAACTGAGGCATGCAGGTTAGTAGCAGGGCCTGAGCCTTAAACACACATGCCTTTTTCATTACCTCTGTGAAGTAAACAGGCTATCCCACACCTTAGCTGGGGAGAAAAAAGCAACTTTTGGCAACAAATTGTGAAGGTGTGGGTTTCTTCTCCAGAGCAGAGGTGTGGCTGAACTATACAAGCTACATTAAGGGACATCACCTGACCAAGCTGGGGACTTTAAACAAACATCTTTGTCTTGCCAGTGAGGGGACAGCAGCTTTTGTGAACTGCATGTGGTTGCTTTTACCGCTCCAGGTACATCAAACACATTTGTTTTACATATTTTCCCAGTGACATGGCTTGTATGACTCATACTGGTTTAAATTACACTAAGAAGATTAGACATGAGGCTTCAATAGATGGTAGCATGCTTATGACCGAAACCCTTATAGTTAGGCCTCAGGACTTATGAAAGATGAACTCTAGCATAATAGATACAGTTCATACTAAGGATGCATGTATGCCCCTGGGTAAAACGCCCTGAGATTCTCAGGCCTAAACCTGACTTGCTTTAATTATTTTCAATGGGGTTCTGCAAGGGATGGCGCTTGGGCCAAAATCGGCTTGTACTGCATGACATGGGATTTATCTAATGATCCAGGGAGAAGGTGAAGGGAAGAGACACTTGCAGGTATGTGGGCTGTGTATAGTTTCCCTGGGTGCTCTTGTGCATCAGGAACTGGTCAGAGCCACAGAGAAAAAGCCACAAACACCCACCCTTATGTACACACAACAGGGATCCTTTGCTGGCCCAGCTGATAGTCATGCCTCACACATACACACACACATACATGCCACCTCCATAAAACATTGATGAAGATCTCTAGCAAGTAGCTCACTTATATCTGCTAGAACTGTTACTTCAGCAAGAAACTGAGCGAGGTTTGGCCCATAATGTTTGCACACCATACTGCTAGAACATAAACTTCTTATTAGTGTTTTCTGGTTTTGAAAACATTAAGCCTGGGATTTACAAACTCCTTTCCCCAGGAGGTCTGGACTTCCTGTCCATATTCTTCATCATAGGAAATCACATCCCTTGGGGAATGTCTTTGAAAGTCACTACTGACAGAAAGTGGTCTTCTAAAAATCATAAAAGTTGTCTTCTGCAATTTATTTTCTGTGTGCCTCTGGCAGGACTGGAGGAGTGCTGCCCATTTCGCTGGTGTGATGCCTCCCCCCAACACTGCCTCCCCCAATCCCTGGAATATTTTCTAGGTTTCTTTCAGCCCTCTGGTCTATGAAACCTTCCTTGAATGAAGTATTGCTTTCCTGTGCGCTTGCTCCTGCTAGCCATGTGACATAGCTTAGTTTGAATCAATGGGGAGTAAACTAACAAGACATAAACCAAGTTGGTAATATGCGCATCTGTGAACGTGCTGTGCTGTATTTAACACATCTGATCCTTGCATCGCTGAGACTATGTGCTATGCCTAATAGCTGGCTGCTCCGTAACAAGGTTGACTGAAGAGACTTTTGCCAAGTCCTTACCATAGCCCTTTAGCATAGGCTGCTCTTGAATGCACTAGTTGTAGTGAAGGTAGCTTGGTAAAATAGGAACTATAAGCAAAAGACAATTTGAGATTACAAAGAGGGAAGAGGGCAAGATATGTGCTGGTATTTATTGGCTGGGGCAGGCTTAGATTTTGTCTGAATGATTTCATAAGTTATTCACAGTGGGGTTTTGGGTATGGGACGCCCAGTGAGAGTTTCATTCCTGTAAGGCATCCGATAGCACAGCATCGCATTATCGAACCCTCGCAGATATCAGCCCCATCAAGTGCCTCTAGGTTGTTGTACAACTGCTCCCACTGACTACAGAGCTAAGTATGTCTCAGGTCCAAGTCCTTAGACTGAAAGCTTTGTTTGTTAGCTATCAAATTAGGAAAACACTCAATGGCCCAGGAGCATGGGATAAGAGCGTTTTATTTGGAAATGAAGAGGTGGGGAAACAATGCTTTGATTTATTTTGGGACAGCAGATTGCAGGGACAGAAACTCAGTGTTTAAGGCACAGCATTTGTGAAGGAGATGGCAAGGGAAGAAATAACACTGGAAAAAAGAAAAACAGAAAAAGGAAAAAGAAATAATCTGAAAAGTTGTCTGGGGAAGAAAGTTTGCCTAACTGGAGAAGGAGAGTTGGTAGAGTTCACAAGAGTAAAGTGCTGGGACATTTATTCTCTTTTCATTCACTGTCTGTAACTGAGCCTGCTAAGTGCTATTGGGTATAATGGACATGTTAACAGAGAGTTAGCAGAACAGATGAGTTCTCTCACTGCATTGGGTATTGGGAACCATTTGCTGTTGATAAGTGTTCTTAAATGATAGCACTGTTGAGCTTGAGCTTTCTGATCATATTCTTTTTTTTTTTCTTTAATTTACTGTTCTGCAAGTCCTTAAACATGGAGTATGAAGGAATACCATGTTATGGTATCTCTTACTTTCCTGCATGAATACCAACAGCTTCAAAGGGTTATGGCACATAGCAGCATTAACTGCTATGGCTGGCAACTGGAGCAACTATAAGGCTGTAATCAAGTGTCTTTGATGCAGTATTCCTTTCTGCATGTGTATGTGTCATTGGGATACTTGAGGTCATGCTCCATGGCAGTTAGTATGGCGTTAAGCTGTTACACTCTGTCCCAGAAGATGTTGGAAAAATCTATTTTTTCTTTCTCCAGAGCACTGGAGCACCAACATTACTTGAGTAATTTACCCTACAGTCTTTCTTCAAGGTGGATAGGCTACAGCCCTGCATGGGCATTAGGTGACAGTGCCGGGTCAGGCT